GGAGGTGATGCAAAGAATCACAAGGATCTTTTGTATACTCGCGAGGTTGAGCTGCTATCCTGATGGCAAATTTGGTATCGGGATAGCAGCCGAGAGGCGGGTTGCTAAATTTTTGAGTGTTTAGCAGCCCCGGTGGAGCTGCTAAATTGAGTTTGCGCTGCTATAATTGGTTTAGCAGCGCGGTTTAGCAGCCGCGGTGGAGATGGTCTTACTAATGAATTTGTTGCTTGTAGAGTCACGGTATCCTTTCTCACTTGAATCTTAGACATCTTCCATACAAAGCTGATTTGAAAACTCTTCTACTATTTTCCTAAGACCGAGAGTTGTCCAAGATGCGACCTGAAATGACTGAGAGGGGAGCACTGATTGCAATTTACGGTCTGTGCGGATTCGCCAATCTGGGCAGCATGGGAATCCAAGTTGAGCAACCGGTTTCGCATCATTCCTTCCGCATAGCATGTCCACTCGACACATGTAATCAAATCAAACATATTGACACCTCCTTAATCATACAAAACTAAATCCTAGATTGGAGTCTTGAATAGTCTAGTACCCTCAAAAAAACATGTGATCAGTAGAGTTGCAATCTCTGCATTACTGTGCGGATTTTTTTCGACAATTCAGAGGGCTGGTGAGTTCTATCATCAAAGGACATTTTCCACATCCGTCTTAGTCTAACTAACTGGTTTGACTCCCAGCTATCGCCGGGATGATTTTTTGAATTGATTTGATTGGGAAAGTGTAGGAAAGTGTCCATTGTGATCGTGGACTTGCAGCCTTACAGTTCAAGATTCACTTGAAGCTCCAATGTTTTGATGTGTCTCAATTCAAATTGGTTTAACAATATGCCTTTCTTGTAACGCACATCACAAGGAAAATGATATGAGAGAAAAGATACAGCTGATATGACTCAAAACCAGATTCCAGTGATAATAGATCCAGTTTCTTGAAGAAGAGACGGAAAGGGATAGTGTTGGCTGAAAAATCAAGTGAGACAAAAAAAGAACAAAGATTTTTTTTCATTCTTGATTATACAATAGTCCCCCCCCGCCTGTTTCCTACCAGTTTTCTGGCCGGGTTTTCCAGGAAATTTCAAACCTCCAAAGCTGACCATTCAAAAATGAGGCAGCAGCTGAGACAGGGGGAAGGACATTTGATTCATCCAAGGTAATACAAACAAAAGAATAAAAAAAACAGGAATGAAAGAGCTCTCCTAATTTGTACGGGTAATCAATGCATAGCATATCGGTATTGACGGCTGCTCTCCTAATCTATACGGGTAATCAATGAATAGGAGATTGGTATTGACGGCTGATAAAACGCAAAATTTGTACTGTACCGTGTCTTCGCATCGCGTTAGCGAACAGGTAGCGAGTAAAATGGTCAACTAGGGCCAAAGCAACCTCTTGCAGGTAGAATGCAATATAGAGTTGAGGGGCAAAATGATATTGCTTGTGCCGGCCGAAGTTGGGGCAACAGTTAAGCAACGCCTCAGCTTCGCGAAGAGCCTGATCGATCGCAAAAACTTGTGAATGAAAGGTAGAGGAAGAGTAGCGTAATCAGGCCTTTCGAGGTTTTCTTTAGGCATCCCAAGTACAACAATGGTCATCAATGCACTTTTTTTGATCTCAAGGCATCGGTTTCAATGCAGGAAGAGCTTGTCGGTAGGTTTTGATTCAAGACATCACAGAATTTCAAACAGGGAGATGTTAGACAAGTAAAAGTACAAAAAGGTTGACTTGGAATGCTTGGAACATGGTATTTGGTACAGTGTAGTAATACTTTTCGGTAATGATGCTGCGGTATTAAGCGACAAATCCAGAAATTGAAAGAATGGTGAAGCCTCGTGATTGAAGGTAGAACGGGCAGGATGATCATCCCCGGTGAGGTTTGCGTTTAGCGTCCCGAGTGTAACAATGGTCATCGATGTACTTTTTGGTGTGAGGCAAGACCTATGAATAGTGGAAAAAAGGGGTCAGTGGGCAGTGACAGGGAGACCCAAGCTGAAGAAATTTCAGACATACCTTGTGTTGTTCCGGAGGGAAGTCGCAGCAATACCTGGCCTCTACGGGGCGCTTAGCAATATCCAACTTAGCGCAGGTGAAGCCATTGCCCATCGGCGAGGCGGCAATCACTAGATCAGGACAACAACGAAGAAAAGAATGCTTGATGAGCTGTTACTCTCGTGCAGGTCAAACGTTTTCCCGCATATGACTTACCGAGAAGTTGATCATTTTTTAGTGGAGGTAGACTTTGGTCATGGGAATCAATCTGTTCAACAATTTTCCTCACACAAATCCCGTACTTGGCGTCTTTCTTCGAACCATCGTTGCAGACAAACTTCGAATGAGCAGCTTCACTCTGGATCAAGAGCAGCGCAACAAGCGTGATTAGAATGGAAAATCGCATGATTGGTTTGTGGTCTTGTCACTTGGTTAGTGGTGTGGATGGAGCTATCTAGGTTAGAGCGGTGGTCAGTGAGTATATAATGAATTGACAGTCTGCTGGGGGAGGTGCTGATAATAGCTGTCTTATATAGACCACAAAGCCTCCTCTCACATGAACCACCTTGTTGGGCCTTTGCTCAGCAAGAACCCTTCGTGTTCTCGATTGCCCCATCTTACTTAACTTTTCAGCCACACACCGCTTTGAGCACCGGGTCCCTTGACTTGGTAGCTAGGCCGACGGAGATGGCGGAACCCCAAGAAACGGGTGCATCCATCTAGCAGGTTTCCTTTTGGGTCCGTCGCCGGAGCGATCAGAACACGTTTATCTTGTTATGTTCCCTCAAAAAATCTGTGGGAACCACAAGTGGAGTGGCCAGGGACGGGCTTCCCGATCGGATCAGACTATTTCTACCCGGTCCGTTGAGGCTCTCGTGTATTTCTATGGATGTGATCGATCTGTCGAGTCAACGTGGACCCTATCAGCCTCTAAGAAGCTCTAAATCCTGATGTAAGAAGGGATTTGTAAGAGGGTTGGAAATTGATTCCTGACTTGCTCTAAAAAAACAGCCTTTCATCTGGCCAGTGTCTGGAGAGATCCTAGTGAAGCCACACTTGTGTGCTTGTTAGCAACCGAGCTGACCCTAAAAAAGGGTTGACGGACTGTCAACTAAGAATTAAGGGAGTTTTCTTCTGAGTAATCCAACGACAGACCCGAAAAAAACTCGTAAACCTACAAACTAGATGAATGCACCCGTTTGTTTTTGTCCAAAGGGGTTTCTCCATCTCCACCGACAAAGCTGAATACAGAGTTACGGGAGCCGGAGCCGGTCAAAGCGGCGTTCATGTTCTGAGCGATCCGACGACGGACACAGAAAAAGCGGAAATCTGCTAGATCAATCCACCCTTTTCTTGCGTCAAGATGAGCTTTTCCATCTTGATCACCAACATAGCTATAGCACTAATCAGGGAGTCTGTGCCCAAAGCAGTGTGTGGCTGAAAAGTTAGGTAAGATGCAGCAATCGAGAAGAAGGAGAAGGCTTCCTTCTGGCGAAGCCCTGCAACAAGCTGGTGTGTGATGACAGATGTGGAAGGATTTGTCGCCTATATAAGACGGCTATAATTGGCTTTCCAAAATTTTCTTATCCATCTTGTCTTCAACAGCCACTTTTACGAAAACCCAACCAACCTAGAGCGGTTCATCCACATCACTGACCAAGTCACAAATCCAACAACCAACCATGCGATTCTGCAGCTTAATCACCCTCGTTGCGCTGCTCTTGATCCAGAGTGAAGCTGCCCATTCCAAATTCATCTGCAACGACGGTTCGAAGAAAGATGCCAAGCACGGCATATGTGTGAGGAAGATTTCTCAACAACACGATTCCACTAACAAAGATTTACCACCATTAAAAGACATGGATGTCCTTGGTAAGTCTTATCTTTCGGTCCACGTCAAACATCTTGACTAGAGCAGCAACTTATCCCAACATCTATTGCCCTATACTATAGTGATTGACGCCTCCCCCATGGGCAACGGCTTTACTTGCGCCAAGTTGGAAATTGCCAAGCTCCCCGTAGAGGCCAGGTATTGTTGCGACTTCCCACCCACGCATAAGGTGCGTTGATAGCAATTTGTTCAGCTTGGGCCGTTCTATTCACTGTTCACTGACGCCTTTTCTCCATTATCCATACGTAGACTCTCCCTCACACCAAAAAATACATCGATGACCATTGTTACACTCGGGATGGAAGAAGAAAACATCCCAGGGCTTGATCACCTCGCTCTTCATTTACTGTAACTTTTTCACCCCCGAAAGTCCTTACTATCATCCTTTGAGTTCCGTTTTGTTGACCTCACGATTGTAGCATATTCCCTAAATGTAGCACCAAAGTCCCTATCGTTTTGACTTCCATGTTACAAATCGGTCCTTTTTACCTTTGCTCACTTGTCTACATCACCTCTTGAACATGTACAAAACGATCATGGCCTGTTTGACATTTTCTACTTAACTGTGCAAGAGAAAAGCAAGTCAACCGATAACAATACTTTTCTTGGATTGACATCCACACCTTGATTGAGATTTTTCCAACCATTGAACACATACCACCCCCGAATTTATTGTGTTCACAAATTCGGAAGAATTCCTGTCTTCTTCTTGAGTAGAGAGCATGAAGCGACGACAAAGCCTCTTATCCCTAGATCATTAACTTTGACTCCAAGTCTGATTGTCTGAGGGGTATGAGCCAGTCACCGTCAAGACGAGAGACATTGAAGATATCTTGACATTAAGTCCGTTTGCTTCACTGGAGAATCCGGCTTGAAAATGTTTTGGTAATGGGCCAGGACTTTAATAGAATACATGCGAAATCAAAGAAGACCTTTACGGTTGAATAAAGTCGCCAAGTTAAACTTTCAGATCGATCCAACGACGGGCCCGAGAACACTTGGAGACCTGCTAGATGGATGCACCCGCATTTTTGCGTCAACCGCGTGGGTTTCTCGATCTCCACCGGCATATAAGCTGCATTGGTTGACCAACGTTTTCGTCGATGCATTGGGATCACTGGAGAATCCGACTTGCCATTTTTGTTTTGCCAATCAGCCAGTGCATTTTATAGAAGAAAGAAGGTCTTGAAGGGTGGCCGAATTGATGAGCTTGAACTTTGCGAGGATGAAGTTACACATTCGGCGGGCAACCACTGACTTCGATGTTTGGTTTCGCAACTGTACATAACCCAGGTCTTGACTCTGAGGAGAAAGTCTTGGCGGATTGTTCTGAGTTCGGTGTCTATGTAAATACTTGCTGCACCGATCGACACAATATGAACCCTTTTTCTCCGATAAGTGTAGACTCCAAAAAAAAAACCATTGCGGCACATATAAAACAATGTGAGGTGGGAGGCTAATCCACGGAAGGGCAACACGCCATCCACTGCAGAAACCATTCTATGATACGAAGATGTGGTTCCTGGAGATTGACATTACATGATCAGAGGGATTGGGAGCTCTTTATCCTCGAGTACATTATAGTGTTCTTGCCTATACGTACTACATAGCTGAGTTGCCCTACTTGAGCCCTGATTGTAACTTGACGACACCTTTCATCGATTAATCCAACAGGCCGATTACACACAGCCATCCATCGCGCCACTCACAACGTTCCCTTAATTCTTTCCGTTGCAGTCGATTATCTAGCCTGTTTGTTTCCCTGAACGCGTTTCCCTTTGTCGTGGTTCCCCTTGTTGGGCTCGATCGCGTATAATAAAACCCCTATATTTCTTCTCATATTGTGTCTGCACGGCTCTTGCAACAAATACCGCGGTGGGGTTTTTTTTTCCTCTGACCTTCTCCGAGTTTTTTTGTCATCATTCACTTCACAAGTCTTATTAATAGCTCCACTCCACCCAGTTTCCTCCAGTACATACTTTAGTCGACCCCACGAATCGCCTTTTTCCTCCCATCACTATTCCCCTCCAACCCCAACCACAACAAATCCAAGCCCCCGCGTCCGGATAAGAAGTCCAGACCTTGGAGATATGGACATCTCGAGTACCCCAGCTAGCACATTTGTGAGACGATACAGCCTGCCTTATACTGCGGCCCAAGACGAGCGACTGGTGCTCTGTTGGATCGAGGTTTCTAAGCTCTTTCGATCTAAACCTGGGCCCAACAATCAGGACGATTTCTGGGCTACTCTTACTGTTGTCTACAGTCATGCCAACATGCTCAGCGGCGGCAAAGACACAATCAGTCTTCGGACCAGGTATGTCTCTTTTTTCTGCAATATCGAGCTTGGTTCTTATCCGTACTTGGTACATCGCCTGTTTCTAACGATATCTTTGATTTTTTTTCTTTTCTTTTTTTTTTCGTGATCTTGTTGTTGTTGTTGTTGTTTGAAAGATGGGAAAAGATCGAGCAAGACACGCTGAAATTTTCGCGATATTACTACGAGTTGAAGCGACAAGAGGGGGCTGAAACGGAGAAGAGTGTGATGAAATCAGCGGCGGCGAGGTTTGTTGAGCTCGACGAGCGTCCATTCGAGTTCGAGTTCTTGTGGTCATTCCATCTGCGATATCAACCGAAGTGGATGGAAGGAGGGAAGGCAGCCGAGGGCCAGAGCGATGCAGATGCTGCCGCTGTAGCAGATGTCCCTGCCACCTCAGGACTGGAGTCGGCCATCGATTCCCGACACTCTTCGACGACTGTCTTATCGCAACAAGACGCGCCGCATCATCAAGGCGCCCATGCTTCTAGTGGAGCATCCAATCTTGGAAACATCGCCGGAGTTCCCTCGAGCGGGAGCCCGTTGACGAGCAGAAAAGAGGCCCCGGCAACCAGCCCGGTCCGAGCTGTGATGACGGAGAGTCAGAGGAACAAGAAGATGAAGAAGATGCCGCCGCCGCCGACGACGATGTCTAATGAAGAAAGAATGCTCGACGCGATGGCCGGCTGGAACGAGCAAGTTGCCTCGAACAATGCGCTCGATCTGACGAGTGCCGAGCAAGAGCGCGAAAGGATCCGGATCGATGCCCGTCGATTGCGGCTCGAGCAGGACTCCTTCGACCGCTCCATCATCGACAAAGATCTCGCCCTTCTTCCCGACGAGCTTGCCCGTCAATTCTATCGGCTCAAAAAGAAAGCCATCCTCGAAAAACTCAGTCTCGCTCATACTCCTCAGCCAGCGCCTTCTTCTGCTGCCGTTCCATCCCCCCCCCACCCGCTGTTGCTAGCTCATCCCTTATCAGTCTTTTTTGATCGCTCGACAGGGGGCTCTCCTTTTTCCTTTTGCTGAGCTTGGACATGGATTGGGACTTGAAAAGACCAGACGAAGCGCCGCTGTTTTGCCTTCTGATTTTTAACTGGTCCTCGCAATCCTATGTAAATAGATACACATGTCTCTGATCATTTGTCTTCTCTCTACAGATTAAAGATCATACTTGTCTTCTTCTTCTTTTTTTTCTCTCAGTTTTCCTTTCCCCTTTCTTCTTCTTCTTCTCCTTCTCAGGAAGCTCTAGACATTCCTTAACGTGACCTACCACAATACAAATTCCAACTTTCATGCTTTGCTATGTATGAACGCCCCTATGTCTCAATCATCGGGGGTATGACTTCTTGAATAGATGAATTAGAAGAGAAGCCAAGAAATCTAAGTCAAAAACACACTTAATTGGTGTTGGTAGGAGCGGGGATTGTTGCTACAAAATTTAAAACCCAGAGGGTGAGATGGTGACCGTCACGCCATTGCGCTGTTCATTTTTTTCCTGCGTTCCCTTCCCCCCGGGGTATGCACAGCCATATCCTCCGGAGTCCAACAGTTTTCCAAACAAGGACACCTGCAATCAACCAACACCAACCAGCCCACATCATCATCAGCCTACATACACATACATCGAACCAAACAAGAAGCTGTCCATCATGGTCCACTCGAATCCTTCATCCTCGGTGAGTGTGCAAGACTGACCAACTATTCGCATGGACTGATGCAGGCTGACAAGTCGACGATCTTTATATCTGTGATGGACAACAACCACGAAATATTATATGGAATCGAATCGAATGATGGACAGACCGACGTCTTGCTCTACTTCTTAGCCATCTTCGTCCCCCCGGCTTCCGTCTTCATCAAACGTTCGTCCGCCATATCTCCCCCCAATCTCATCCGTCCCACTCACTTTCTTTTGTTCCTTGGTGTTGGGTTTTTTCGGGTTTGGGTTTTGTTTTTTTTTGGGTTTGGGTGGGACGACGATGGACGGACAGGCCAATGCTCGGCCGACTTCTGGATCAATGTCGCGCTCTTCATCCGTCAGTCCTTTCCTCATCCTCCTCCACTTCGTCTACTAGACCTATCTATTTATTTCCCCACAAACCCTTAAAGACCTCCCAAAAAAAAACAAAACAAAACTGATTCCGTTTTTTTCGGTGGGATGTGTTACATGTGAAAAAAAAAAAAAAAAAAAAAAAAAAACAGTGGGATGGATTCCAGGGGTGATCCATGCCTGGTGGATCATCTCGAAATACCCAGACACCTCTACTGCTCCTCATCCTCATCAGCATTCGCAGCATGAGAATACCCCCCATGGCTATCAACCCGTGCCTAATTACGGCTCCGTCCCGCCTCCGCCGTTCAAATAAACCCTTCGGCCGCTCTTTCTTTCTCTTCTCCCCCTTGGACTGTTTCTTTGTTTTTTGTTTGCTTCTTCGTTCTTAGCTCAATTTGTCTCCTCAATTCCTGCACCTATCCCATGTATTACCGTTTTTTTCTCTCCACCCCCCGCTCCCCTTGCCTACAATATCACCTACCCTTTTTTTTCTTTCTTTGATGTATTTTATCTGCATATACTTGTGGTATGTATGCGTGTTTCCTCCTATCGACAAGCAACAAAAAATATCGTTAGTCTGGTTTTCTTGCTTGTTAAGACAGAGTGGGTCGGTTTGGTGTGATCAGGTTCAAATAGGCACATGCTTTGATGCTGTGACTCAACAGAAAGAGAATGACCTAAATCTTACAACTTTTCATTCATCATTATGTGCTGTTCACAAGCGCTCTAGCTTCATTTTGTCTCAGATTCATGATTGTCTGAAACAGCACTTCCTTGAAATCAGACACAAGAATAAGGAAACGAGTAAATTTTGGAGGTTTTGATATTTTTTTTTGGTTTTGTTTCCTTCATGTTTTCAATGGGATGAAAGGGGGGAGATAATACAACATCAGATTATGAAGGAGGACATGATCATCAACAACAACAAAGAAATCGAGCATACTATGAGGTTTGAAGACTAAGCATGTAGCAAAAAAGAATAATTTCAGGAGAAGAATGGGAGGAGAATGTACACAGGATGAGAGAGAGAGAAGAGAGAAGAGGTTGAAAGTGGAGGGATGTTTAAGGGGGGGAAGATGAAAGGTGAGAAGATGGCGAGAAAGGGCGGAAAGGGCGAGGATTGTAGTTCAGGATGAGAGAGGTTGGAGGGGGATGAGAGGATGGATGGTTGGTCAGACGGCTGAGCCATAAGCCGGAGGGGCCGATGCTTGGTGGACGATCGGGGGCGGGTGGTTGGCCGGGGGCTCGTAGCCGATCGGCTCCTGTGTCCCCAGAAAAAGAGAGTGTGTCATCATCGGCACAGACAGATCGATTAGAATGAGGGATTCGCGCGGTCGACTTACGTAGGTTGCGTTTCCGACATACTTGTAGCCCTCTTGTCCGTACCGCTCCTCGGCTTGCATCCGCTTATATATCACTGGGGTGGGGACAAAAGTCGTGTCGGGTTGGTTAGTCTTGGAACTCACTTCAATCGACGGGGTAGTGTGTGTGTTTTAAGAGGCTTTCGAACGAGAAGATACGAACGATAGAATGCATGCAAATGGCCTGTACCCAACGATGTGATTGTTTGTGGGGAGCAACGAAGAGAGATCAGTATTGCTAGTCCAGTTTGAGAGAAATCGGGGTGAGCAGTGTGGAGATCGAGACTGACCCGGAAGGTATCCCAATCTGTATCCCAGAAATCCCCCGAGGAACATATGCCATCAGAAGACAGTCGAGAGAAAAAGGATACCGAGAGGGAAGGAGAGAGAGAGACTGACATGGTGAGCAGGATGTTGATCAGAAGGTCGCAGCCACATCCAGTCACGAATAAGGCCGCCGCGGGAGGGAAAATGACTGCTACGAGAATCAAGATTCTGGTGTGCCATCAAAAAAAAAAAAAAAAAAAAATTCTCAGCTTGGGTTATTTTCTGGGGGGGATGTCTTCTTCGGAGTTCGTCGTTCCAATTTCTTCGTCGAACGACACCAATCTTCTTGTGCAAAGATGAAACGCAGATCGGATCGGATGAAATAAGAAGCTGGGGAGAGAGGTATATGACTGACATGTCGCTTCCCTTGACCATCGTTCCTCGGATCTGTGTCGTTCTTGTTGACTGGTTCTTCTTGTGCAGTGAGTGGGGCAGTGGGTTGGGTTTTGATGGTGGATATGCCGAGTTGAGTGAAGTTGTGTTTGGTTCTGGTCTGTCAGGAATCATCCCCCGGGGGGAAATCCTGGCGCCGCCGGTTTGTCTGTAGCCGAGTTCGGGACAGTCCAGTGACATCTCTCTCTCTCTCTCTCTCCGCTGACTGTTGAGAGGTTGAAGACAACCTCAAAAACAATTTACATACAGTACCGTATGGCATACATACTATTTTTTCCAGCATGTGTCTTGTTCAAATTTCCATATTGTAACCCCCAGAGTGACCATCACCAACACTTTTAAAGCCAGTTATCAGCCAACAGATCTCTCCCCTTGTTGTGAATTTTTGAGTACAAGACAGAAAAAAAAAAAAAGTACATTAATTGTTTGAGATTCAATCCTGCAGCACTTAAAGGCCCTCTTTATAATCCAGATCGAACCTTTCGATCAGTGATTTCAATTCGGGAAATGAGTCTTCTTGGGTCAGCTCAATTTTAATGTGAATGTGTTTGATCAGCACTTGGTTGTTCTCCATTTGCCAGCTCTGAAAGCGTTGATGCTCTTGAAATGTCTGCAGCACGAGGAAAACAAAAACCTTAGATGCATACTGCCAAGAAGTATCATGAGTATCTATCTGTCTCTTGGTTGTGATCCACAAAAAAAAAAAACTTTGCAATAATAGACTAGACTGTAATTTCAGCCATCCTTTTTTTTGAAGGTTCTACAGGGAAGTACTTGCAGCTGAAAGTCTACTTGAAGTGAGAGCAGGATAGATGGTCACTGCCAGGATATTCCAGACAGGAAAGTGAGTTCACACACATATATATATCCACAATATATATATGTGCATTTTTGTTTAAATAAATTGTTGATAACAATTATAATAATAATGTTGATATTGATTGGAGAAAGAAGCAGAACAAGAAGATTATTTCGGAGCCAGCAATCAATCAAAGTAAGACAAGTTATATACAAACTATAATGAATCTTAATAGACAATAATACAAGCATGATTGGGAAAGATTGATTGATTGGAGTAGTCTCCAGACATTTTCATTTTTTTTTTCAAGAGGATTCAGAGGTTGAAGAGCTATTGGTAGTATTAGTATTAGTATTAGTAGTAGAAGTGGAAGGGGTATCTTGAGTGGTGAGAGTAGGGTCAGTGAAGGGATTTAACTGAGGATGAAGATTGTGCAGTTGTTGTTGTTGTTGTTGTTGATGCTGATGGTCATGGAGGGGAGTGATGGAGCCACAAGGAGGCGAAAGATCGAGCTGATCGACGAGCTCCGAGTCAGACGCCGACGACGACGAAGGGTGGCGGGGGAGCTCAGAGGGGCGAAGGACAGAGGCCGTCCGGAGACGTTTCTCGCGATATCTGTCCCGCAGATCTTGCATCTTGAGCGTATAGACTTCCCTGCGAAGCGGGTCGTTGTCGAGCGTGAGCGGGTCGATCTTGAGCAGCTGGAGCTCGAGCGATTCTTGGTCCACCTCGGCTTTGCGTTTGAGAGCCGAGGCTAACAGCCGATCGAGCTCTTCTGGATGAGCATCGTGTTCTTGTTCTTCTGGCTTGATCTGTCGTCGTCGTCGGCCTGCCATCATTCGATCTTGTACGCGATCCAACAAGAGTCCTTCCGCCGAGCCGACCTCCGCCGTTGTGGGCCCGTCGATCGACCCTTGGCTCTGTCGTCCGACCCCATGCGGCACCCCCCCTGTCCCCCCATACGTGAATCGTTGCCATCGGCTCGAGCGGCGCAGCAGGTGCCATGAACTGTGGTATGTGAACTTGTGTTGCTCCTCGCGTTCGTACACTCGCATCGCTTCGCGCACCAGCTCTTCTTCTTCCTCGATTCCCGCTCCCGTACTTCTGGTGTTGGCCATCTGGGCCTTCTTCACTCGCTCGTAATATCCACTGAACTTGAGCACCTTGGAGTGCAGTAATTGCCAGCTGAAAGGAGGTGCGCTTCTTGACTTCATCAGTCTTTCTTTCTTTCTTTCTTTCTTTCCTTGTGAACAGATTGATTAACAGAAAGAGAAAGGGGGAGAGATGGTCGCACCGATTTCTGACATGATCTTGATTGCGTGCGATGGGTCCAGTATGATGAGCGGCGAAATGGGCGGCGACTTTGTTCCAGAACTGGGATCCTTTTTGGGGCGTATTGGTGAGCGGATCGAGCGCGTTTTCGAGCCAGGATCGACAGAGTTGTTCGTCCTCTGCGGTCGTCCAATTGGGTCTCCTGACATGATGATGATGCTGAGTTGCTGTCTTTGGCTTCGAAGTCGGAGTGAGTGTGGGGGTTGTTGTTGTTGTTGTTGTTGGTTTGGTTTGTGTTGTTAGTAGGAGTAGTGCTGGATGGTGGTGTTCGTTGGTCGGCATCTTTTTGGTGGGTTTTGTATGGCAGTGCTTCGCGGGGTGGGCTTATGTACTCCGAGGTTTTGCCCGAGGTTTTGGCCCAGTTTAAATGGTTTTGTCCATCTCTCCCCTCTGTTCACCACTGCCCCCGAAACTGTGTTGTCCATCCCAGTTGACCACCACCACCACCATCCATCCACTTTTATGACCACAAACAACTTAAATGATGGAGCAAGCACAACAAGCACACCCCATACTCTCGCCTCCACTCTCAGCAGTACTCAGAGCCGGAACACTCTCGCCCGGAACCAGATACGCGCCCAGTCCTACCGTCAAGAGTCTCAAGAGAATCCTAGAACAACAGCAGAAAAAGGGAGTCTTACTCACTCCATTGGAGAGGAATATCAGGTCGATTAATTATCAGTATTCATTGCTCTTCAAGAACCATCATCTTCATCATCAGCATCAGCATTCACCCGCCTCTTCTCGATCGACGACTACTGTCCAGATCTCAGATTCACAGCCCCCTTCGCAACAACAAGAACAGTGGGCTATCAATACCACCACAGCTAGTAGGATCAAGCGCTGGTTCACGCTCAATTGGAGCCCTAAATCCCTCCCAGAGTCCTCGCGAAATATTACCACTACTACTGCAACTGCTGATGTTGGAGCAGACCAACAAAATCTCATAGCGGCCGATCCAGACTCGTTTTCTAAACCCAAATTCCCGTTGGTCCTTTGTCATGGCTTGCTCGGATTCGACGTCCTTGGTCCTGCTGCCCTTGGACTCACTTATTTCCGGGGAGTCCGCGAGGCGCTCGAAGAGGTACATTCATACCACTCTTCTCTTATCCTCTCCACTCATTCTTCTCTTATCTCAGACCATACCCTGATTTCATGTTTATGGGTCTTGTGACGGTCAGAGAGGCGTCGAAGTCTATGTGGCTAAAGTCCCGGCTTGTGCAAGCATCGAGGTACGCGCTTTTCTTTCTTCTGCTTCTTCAGGAGAGATATTTCCGACCTGCAAGCATGTCCAAGCTCATTGTTTTTAATCGAGGAGCCGATCGGGTGTGCTGGTTTTGATTGACAACATTAATGATGACGATGGATGATGGATAATGGATGATGGATGATGGATGTGTATGGTATCTACATAGGAAAGAGCAAAGACCTTGGCCCAGTTTATCGAGACTAGATTGCCGGGTCAGACGGTGAACTTGATCGGCCATTCAATGTACCATCTTCTCTCTTTTCTCTTCCTTTTATGAACCAAAAAGAAAAATAGTAGGACAGTATGGACTGATGTTTTTCCGGCTCTTTATGTATTGATTGATTAAGGGGAGGCCTAGATTCGCGATTCATGATCACCCATCTGCGCCCGACCTCGTTCAAAGTGGCCTCTTTGACAGTACGTCAAACCTCTCTTCGGTTTCATTATTCACTACGAGAAGACAATCGGCTCATTCCTGTGTTTGTGTTTTGGGTGGTGATATAGACTATAGGAACGCCGCACCGGGGGAGTGCGTTTGCGGACTACTTACTACTGGACATTTTAGGGCGTGAGTGACACCGAACGGGGCTAGCTTTGGGGGGGATTTTTTTCCTTTTTTTTTGAAACGAGCTTATCGGAGATGTACTGATCATCAACAACCAAACGGGAACATTCATAGGCCAACATCATTCGAAATTCCTTCAGATCTCCAAGAGCCTGGGATTGCCGGGAGGGGGGAAAGCATTTGTGGAACTGACGAGTGAACAGATGGCAGTCTTTAACCAAAACACACCTGATCTCCACGGGATTTCGTATTTCTCCTATGCCGCTGTGTGCGAGCCTTCGTTTGCGAGCCCTTTCAGATTGTCTTGGGGCGTCGTTTATGAACGCGAAGGTTTGTTGTTCTTCTTTCCCATTCTTTTTTTTTTTTTTTTTTTTTTTTTTTTTCTTTCTTTTTCAAAAAAGCACAAATGTTGATTTGAGGGGGTTTTTCTAGGGCCTAATGATGGTCTCGTGTCCGTTGCTTCCGCTCAATGGGGCTCTTATTTGGGCACCCTTCATAACGTTAATCATGCCGAACTCGTCGGCTGGGTCGAACCTTGGAAAACTTCTTCTTCTAAAAAGCATTTGGCCAATCTTCATTTAGGTGCTTATCATCAGTTCTTTCTTAGTCCTTCCTACCTTGCTTCTTCTTCTTTCTTTTTTATTCAATCAATGATGCTAATGTCGTTGGTGGGTTTTTTGTTTTTTTGGATGGATAGATGATCAAGACCAACAACATCAAAAACAAAAACAAAAACAACAGCAACAGCAACAACAAGATCTGAGCCGATTAATGGATCCGGATAAGCCTCACACACATGAGTTTCAAGTCGTCCCTTTTTACCTCCAAGTGGTCGACTCTTTGGCCAAAAAAGGATTCTAAAAAATATTGATCTTTCTTTTTTTTTTAATCATGTGCTACATATACTAATATATTTGTATACCTTTAATCCTATTACTATCTGGTTATTGGGTTGTACTTCCTTTGATTGGACGGTCAGTGTGATATATCTTAATCCGCTTTTTCTTTGTGTGTGTGTTTTTTTGTTGGGGGGATGGGTACTACAGGTCTTCTCTCACCCTTTAATGTCACATCTTTCTTCCCTCTTCATCACTGTCCCATCAACTCCCACCATCATTGTACTTTTTCCTTCATCATCAGTCTTGTTTGTTTCTCAACTCAATATCTGTATGTTTCAAATATGTTGTATGGTTTTTTTTTTTGGTTGTTTGGCAATTTCATCTGTGTACTGTTTGGTTGATGTTCTTCAGGGCTAGAGATTCTTCTCCAGGCATGCCTTTTTTCTGGGGGATCTCATTCATTCAAATCTGTGAACATGAACAGGAGGAAATATGTATTCCAATGATCAATCACAATCCACCAATTTTGGAGGGGGGGCGCCAGGTTTGGTGTGAGTTTGTGCAAGAATCTCACATTGTTTGATATCACACAGTCTGAATCCATGCCAAACCTTAGCCAAATCACATCATGATTTGCGGCCAAACTGGGCCTTATAAAGCTGTACAAATCACGCCAAATTAGTGCATTGTGAACCCCCCCCCCCCCTGCCCTGTTGGGTTTCACAAACAAGCTGACTCAAACTGTGTTTGCTTGTTCTGGAACTGCTCTGGATT